ATCAATTTCGCGACATTGTAAAAACCGCTTTGAGCAAATCCGCAATTTAAGAAAAATTCAATCATAATTAACAAATATATATTGTTTTATTTTTAAAAAATGGATTTAAGTTCAAAAGCAATAAAAAAATTTATGTCAGTTGGTGACGTGAATTTTCAAATAACAGACGCAAAGTTACCGTCTAACCGTCAAGTTCTTGCTGTAGTTTTTTTTAACATTCACGAGTGTTAAAAAAGAGTTAAAATCAAGAGTGTATTTTGAGAAAAATCTAGAATCCCTACCAGAGCTATACCTAACTGTGTAAAAAAACTTGTAGATCTTCACCATGTTTCGAGAGAGTTGCAAAAAAAAAAAAACTAAAAAAAACATTTTTTTACATTTTAAAACAGAACCGTGAGGAGAATTTTCGAAACAATTTAGATAATTTATTTCATATAGCACATGCTTATGCCTTGGATAGGATAAAAATACATAAACAAAAAGAATCAAAGCGTCCAGGATTCTTTTTCGGTTAATTTATTGTAGACAATAAATTAGCCGAAAAAGAAGAAAGGACAAGACAGAAAAAATTAAAAAAAGAGAAAAAAAAAAGACATTAGCAAATGTGATTTGTGAGTTTTTTCGTAATTTGTTACAACACAAGATTTTATACAAACGCAAGAACATCACAATCACACACCAGCACCGATGAAAGCCCTGAGGAACTGTTACCGTCAACTTCTCAAATAGTAAGCTCTGAAACTACAACAAAAAGAAGAAGGAAGACCTTTATCACTTTTTAGGCAAAAAGGATTATAATACAGGGCCATTAAAAGGAGCTAGTGTACTTTGAAACAAAAACTAGACAGGGAATTATTACTTTTTGCTTGCCGCCATCACGCTTACGAAATGGTTTAAAAATGTGTGTTTGAAACAAAAATCTACCAAGTCACAAGTAACCCTGATATCCCAATGTTCAAAAGGTTTAGAGACAACTGGAAAACTATTAATCTGGGTGCTAATGAAAAATACACTGATATCGTCAAACAACATTTTAGTAATACAACATGTGAAGAATTGTTGACATTTTATAATCAAGAACTGCGAAAATTATTTTACGTGATGATTATCGGAAACTAATTGATAATTTCTTAGAAGTTAATAAAAAAATAAATTATAATCAGACTTCTTGGAGCAATGCATCAAGCGAGGCGAATGGCTAGAGATATTCACTATTAAAGGATGTTTCTTGCAATCACAGATAAAAATTAGCGTCAAGGATAAACGAGCACTTTGATATTGTGTCTGTCAAAAACATAAATTTATTCTCTAAATCAAAAATTAATGAGAACTTTCTCTAGAGACCCGTTTCAACGTGAGATGAAGATGTTGTCTATATAGAGGCAAAAAAGTGATGGACTTAAAAGAGCAGTAAAACTTATGAAAGATTTTCATGCTTTGATCATTGCAAAGGAAGAACAATAAGAAAAAAGCTATTATTGCTACGCTGTGTGCAAGATACTAGAAATCTGTATCTAAACTGTAAATAAGCCACCTTTAAAGAAAAATATCCTTCTTGATCTGTAATTTTATATTCTTTTAATGAATATTTTATAAGATGTAACTGTTTTAATTGATTTAGCTTCATAACGAGAAGGTTTGAAAACAACAATTTTTGAAATCTTCAAAGTTCTATCGTCATGCGTTAGTTTTGTCATAGGAGGATAAAATTTTGTATTTAAGTAAGTCTATTATATTTTTTTCGTTTGTTATTTTAGGTGCCTCAAGAAGTCCTAACGGTCTTGTCACAGAGCAACGCGGATGTGCATTTAACCAGAAAGTTCACGCCTCCTTCCTTACCGTGACGCGAAACATGTCCAAAGCTCGTTTCGAAACTTGATCTCCTGCTTATAAAGCAAGCGCTCTAACAACTGCGCCACGGCCGCACAGATTATTGGTTACTTTAAATTTATTTAATTTTAGAAATTTGTTACGAAAACAAAATTATCAAAGTCTATTTGGAATTTTTTTTAACTTATAAAAGTGCAACTTTTAAAAAGTGTAAACTGACGCGTAACGTAACGTCAAAAAATCTATATTTGAGACATACTTTAATTGCGTTTCATATCTAGATTTTGTTACGTTATTTGGTCATTAAAAAAAAAAATCCTGCTTTATCTGTAATTTTATATTCTTTTAATATCATATAAAATATAAATGTTTCAATTGATTTAGCTACATAACGGGAGGAGTTAAAAACAGCAATTTTTAAAACCTTCAGAGATCTGTGGGTATGCTTTAATGTTGTCGGTGTGCTAAAATTTTGTATTAAAGTAAGTCTAGATACTTTAAAAAGAAATAGGGGGTATGCATTTTGAAAATCCGAAAAAATTAATTTCACTATTATAAGGGACACCCTAATATATATATATATATATATATATATATATATATATATATATATATATATATATATATATATATATATATATATATATATATATATATATATATATATATATTAATTAAAACATTTAAGTTAATTAAAAATTTATGGACGCTCAAAAGAATAGCGTATTTACCATTCTCAGCAGAATATTAAAAAAATCAACAAAACGGCAAAATGAACAACTTGTAAATTTAAAGGTAACAAAAACTTTAAACCTAACTATATTTTTTGTGGAAGAAATGGTTATAAACAACATTTGAAATCAACATTTAAAAGTTAAAATTTATTCAAAACGGTTGAATATTTGCCTGTGTACCAATGCTCACCCTTTACCAATGCTCCTCCCCTCTTCCCCATTTAAATTATGCAGCATACTTGTAGATTAATTTATAATAGCATATTTTTTATCCTGATATATGTTGTAACTTTTTTATGTTTAAAAGAACCGGCACCTTTTCTCCAAAAGTATAATGACCACAACCTGAAATGTAGTCAATTCATTTTTATCTAGCTCTGCAGTTTTTTTAATAAGAAAAAATGACTCAGCTTGATATATTTAATGAAAGAAAAATGTGCGCGTGTTTCAACTGCTGGGTTTGTTTTGACATATTCCCAGACTCCAGGAATGCAGCTAAAGACACAATGTTATAAACAGCTGTTTATAACATTGTGTCTTTAGCTGCATTAAATGTACGTAATGTGCGTAAACAACTTTGGAATAATATAAATTATTTTGCTTTAATTTTGTGCTTTTATACTGGACTTATTACAAAGCGTTTAGACAGATGTCCAGTATAAAAGTACAAAGTTCAAGCAAAGCAGTTTAAATTGTATAATATAAACTACTTTGCTTGAATTTTGTACTTTTATTTAAAAGTACAATATTATTTAATTTTTCAATTAAATAATATTGTAGAAATTGACTGGAAAAAAAAAATAAAAAAAAAAAGTCCATAAAACGACTTTGGGTTATTCCCCCCCAATATAGCTTTTGGAACAAAAATTATATTGGGGGGATACCCCAAATGGGGGGGGGGGGAATACTACAACCCTAGGGCCGTAGGAACAAAAATTATATCGGGGGGGGGGGGGGGGAATACCCCAAAGTTGTTTTATGGACCTTTTTTTTTTATTTTTTATTTTTTCCAGTCAATTTCTACAATATTATTTAATTGAAAAATTATTGGGTTGTCAAATGCCCCTGCTGCCCACCCGGTTTTTTTGTTCATTTAATCCCCTAGAACTAATTTAACTAAAATTTTCACCGATCCTCACAAATTTTATTTGAAATGCAACACCATGGATATTTAAAAACTATGCAGCAGTCAGGTTCAATGAAAAAGACATTTTGTAGAAAAAAAAAAAGAAGCAATATGATTCAAAAAAAAGCAACTACAAAAACAATTTACTTTATAGATGCACAAAGAAAAAATTATCAAAATGTAATAACATTAAAAAAAATGTTATTACATTTTTATACCATCGTTGTCAAGTGCTCCATAAAGAAACGGATGTATTATTTTTTTTAAAAGAAATTAATATATTAAAACTACAGTACTAATAAATTACAAAGCAATGATAAGTTTTTATTAAACTAATATATCAAACGAAATGTTTTTAAATTGTCATATATATAAACGTAATGTTTATAAATTATTGATTTATAAATATTTATAAATTAAAATGTTTATAAACTATAATAACAGTAGTTCACAAGGAACTTGCGTATACGCTTGTGATGGCCGTATAATAAGGAATGCTAATAAGTGGGGCGTGCCAGGAGATGACGTTAATATTATTATCTATTTTATGTTTTTGTATCATGCCACTACGGATGCTCCTTTCTTTTAAGATGTTATGGGCTAGTTTAGTGTACGTCATTTTGTAGCTGTATGGCTTTAACTCGTATGATATTTTTGTTGCACGATGCTGAACTCGTTTTAATACAATAATATTTTTTTGGAGATAAGAGTTCTAACTTTTGCTTGATTCTCGGCCCATGGGGTGACATTAGCATTCCTGTCGATGTTACCACAAAACTGGAATATGCATTAAAAAAAAATGCTACAAAACAATTTTAACGGCATAATATTTAGAAACATGTAAATTAATATTATAGTTTTACTTATCGTTTAACTAAAGTTTTTTAGCAACAAAAAAACTTGAAGCTAATTGAATTTATGCCCGCCGTATTGTACTGTTATTTATACTTACTATTATGCGAATAAAAATTGTTAGTTGTTTATTCCACATCTGACTACAGCATCCGTTAAATTAATTTAAACAATAGTTTACGGGTGACGGGTAAAGAACGATTAATCTAACTCATGTCAATATTACCCACATGTCAAAATAAGGGCTCTCTTTTTTTTTTAACAAAAGCATTGAGTTCTCGAGTTTAAAAAATCAATATCATGTTATCTAACAAACAAATGTTGAATTAGCTTAAGTTTTTTTGTTTTCAATATTTTGAAAGGAGAAGGGAAGGAAGGAGAAGGTGAATGTTATTGAATACAATAAAATTGGTTATTGAATACAATAACATTGTATACAATAATATTATAATAAATAGGGGTTGGTAAAAGCATACAAGTGCGTACAAGGGGAAGAGGGAATCCAATCGCATGCGTAGTTGTTGAATGTACTCCTTCCCCTATATATTTTACAGCTATAGTAAAAAAGTGTAACAATTATTGTAAACAAAATGTTTGTTATTTAATTATTGTAAACAAAGTGTTTCACTTTTTTAAAAAATGGAGGTAATTATTCAAAATCAAATAGCAACAAAAAGAAGTTTATCATTTTCCCTAGATATTTATATTAATTATAAAACCATAATGATTTTAATAATATAATAACATGAATATTATAAATAAAAAAAATTATAGGAATACAAATAAAAATGAATCAGTTTAATAAAGATTAAAATATTAAGGTAATTAAACCAGCATTCAAAAAGCAACCGAAAAAAAAAAAAAAAAAAAATCAGTATCTGATAATAAAAGCAGCTAGGATAGAATGTATTATTTATTGATGTTTTTCAAATAACTCTGATTTTGTGAGTTCCAGTTTTTTCACCTAAAAAAATTACCAACAACAAAATGATTTTTTTTTTTCCATTACATTTAAAATTAATATATAGTAAAAATAGTATTAGTTATAATATCGATTATTATTATCAATACATTATTATATTATATAGGTATTATTTAATAATACTTATATAATATAATAATATATTGATAATAATTATCAATATTATTATTATCAAAATACTATTAGTGTTATTAATCTTAGAATTAATATTATATTTACTATATATTAATTTTAAAAGTAATTATAGAAAAATATACATCTCATTGTTGTTAAATTTTTTAAAATTTAACAACAATGAGATGTATATTTAAAAGCACATTAAAAATGCTTCTTTTTTATGCTATTTTGTTTGTTTGTTGTTGTTTTTGTAATTGTTTTTGTGTTTTCTTTTTTTCATTTTTCTGGTGAAAATTTTGATATTTGTAATTATTTATTTTAATGGTCATTTATTTTAATTTATTAACTAAAATAAATGATCATGAGTTAATGTAACTTGAAAATGACTACTAACAGTCATTTTCATTTGCCTAACAGTGTTAAGGATGGTGTCACTTGAACAATTCATTTCTTTAAATTCAATTCTTTTATATTCTAACTTGAATTTTTTTAAATTATTTTTTGAATTTTTTATTAAAAAAACAGTTATTTAAATGCAACATAATATAGACAACATTGGCATATTAAAATCTACTTAAGTTTGTAAAAAGCGTTTGAAGGCTTTTCAAATAAGATTAACTCTATATTTTATTTATTATATGTATACTGCTATTCTAAAAAAAAATAATATACTGATTAAAGGTTTAAATTTACAAAGTGAACAAAAAAGTCATTTTGCTCTGAATCTTACAAAAAGACTGAGTTTGTTTTTATTTTAAAAAACACAGCCTTGCTTAGAAAAATCTCCCTTATCTGTCTGAGATATTTTTTAAAAGGTCTTTTTCCTTGCTATAATATGTGATATAATGTCATGGCTAAAATACTGCTATAACAAAAGTTCTTCACATGCTACAAAAAAAAAAGAACAATTTTTTAGATTTAAAATTTACTAATTTATTTTTTGAATTAAATTAGTTAATTATTAAATTAGATTTATGCTCTATGATATAGGCTATGTAAAGTCACCTGCTAATTAAATGTATTAAATATCTAAAAAATACTTAAGAATTACTAGTTTTGCTTTTGAAGTTACTTTGATGAAGAGATTACCTTCATTTAGTATAGTTGCCAACTGGCAGTTTGCAAAGGTTTAAACACATTTTTAGAAGTCATTTATATCTAAAATAGCAGAAATTGCTTGAAAACTGTAGACTCAATTGGCATAAATATTGTTGAGCTTACCAAATAAACAGAAGTTTATGGAAAGCAGAGAAATGATGAGCTTTACAAGATCCACGCTGCTACTATTACATTTGGCAAGGTATCACTCTACAACCTAAGTTAACATAAAAACCAGAAAGAGATGAACCAAGACTCTGGGAAAGTGTACTTTAGGCAGACACAACACAAAAAAGGTGGAATCTGATATGGAGTTAATGAAAAAGATTGCAATGATTGGTAAAAGTTTAAAATGTTTTTTTTAAAATTATATTAGTTATCCTCATTTGATACAAAGCCGACAACACTGGGGGGCCAGGGGGACACTTTTTTTCTAAAGGCCCTTTTTTTTTTTTTTTTTTTCAAGAAAAATCTTGATATAGAGGACTTTTTTCACAAATTGATGATTGTGTCCCCCCCTCCCATTTCAAAAGCTGTGTTGTCGGCCCTGTGATAAAAGGTAATACAAGAAATTAATTTTAAATATTTTTTATAATATGAATTATAGTTTCAGTCCTTCAAGGTTATTAAAGATTCAAGAGGTTTAAGTTCACACATTCAAGAGGTTTAAGCTCTCAACCTTCACTTATGCAGTGATGGATCCTGTGATAAAAAAAGATTTGATGGACGAATGGAGTGAGATTTGACCAATTGTAGGAATGACTACTGATTCCTAAACTTCCAGGTATGAAGACCCCTTTTTATCTGTGACTCCCCACAACGTTTCATTGCTATTCAGACTAAATAAGTTTAGTTTCAAACTTTGATAAATTTATTGGATGACTCAATTGTTTACGCTAATGCAAAGGTTGTTATTGAAAATTTTTAAATTAAATTTCACAAAGATCAATAAATTTTGTTATTTAAAAAAACTTATTTAAAAAAAAAAACAAAAGGTCACAAGTCTAAATTAATTATGGCAAGTTTATTGTTTTTTTTTTAAACTAATATAATTTAGTTTAATAAAATGCAAAAATGGTTGAACAATTTTTTCCCCATCAAATATCAAGAAATTTAAAAATAAGATATTTATCATATTTCTTTTTTCTTATGGGTTTAGATGCAATAGTCAGTTAGCTTCTTATAAAAATGATTGTTTCAACAAGGTTTAGTGAAATAAAAAAGAAGTATTGTTCCTCATGTTGTGGGGAATAGACTCATTCTGCACTACCTAGATCTTTCTCTCAAAGAGTATGGAATCTTGGCTAAATTAGTCTCAAAACTGATTTAAAAATTGCCAGCATACCAGACTTTTTGAAAGCCTTTGGTATGAGCTTTGCCTAACTACTTTAATCTAATGCACAATAAATTTTTTTATATTTTTTAAAGGTTAACAATTCAGAAGGAGAGAGTGTAGATTGAGTCTGTATTAATTTTTAGAGAATAAGTTTATGGACTCAAATGTTTTGTTAATAATACTAAGAAAAATGGGAATTAGTTAAAAGAGTCAGAGCTATCTCAAGTTTAAAATCGAAACCATTTTCCAGCAGATAGGAAAACAAAATTAAGTTAAACACTTGGGTCATTACATATGAAATCATTCAAAAAATGTCAGACTTATGTCTCAGAATAGCTCAATTTTCACATTCACGGTCTATATTAAATAAATATTGTCAGATGAAATAGAGATTGTCACCCTAAATTCTTGGGAAAAAAACTTGATTGCATATCATTATTTTTTTTAAGGTTTACTGAAAAAAATATGTTTGTGCAAGTTCTCTAATATTTGATCAAAGTAAGCACTCAAAAACAACATATTCAATTTTTTTTTTTAATTTTAATTTTGTAGTGAAAAAGAATATTTTTTAAAACAATTTTTTAAATAAAAACTTCAAAATAGTGTTATTTAGTAACTAGTTTAGGATATATACAAAAAGGCAACTTCTCCCTAACAGGGGGTTGGGGAGAAGTTGCCTCTCCCTTTGCCCCCCTTTTTTCCTCCAACCCCTATTGGATTTGGAAAAAAAAACAACAAAACAAAACAACCATACTAAATTACAAAAACACTCATTTTTTTTAACTTATTGTATTTAAACTAATAGGAATAAAATTATAATTATTCCTTAGAACTGTTCTACCATCTAAATATCTTTTATTTTTAGCTAAAGTTTTCACAGTTATCATTTAATTAATATGGACTACAAATGATGTAAAAATAAAAGAATATATATATATATATATATATATATATATATATATATATATATATATATATATATATATATATATATATATATATATATATATATATATATATGTGTGTGTGTGTGTGTGTGTGTGTGTGTGTGTGTGTGTGTGTGTGTGTGTGTGTGTGTGTGTGTGTGTGTGTGTGTGTGTGTATGTGTGTGTTACCTGCAATACCAGGACTTTACATGGCTATATCGTGATGATGGTTTGTTGATAATACATAATTCTAATGGCCAAATGAGCGAATTTATAAAACATACTCCAAAAGTTTTAAGATATCGGATTTCAAATAGATATAAAAACAAATCTTAAATCAGTTAACTTTCTTGATGTCACCTTCAATTTTGCCCAAAATACTCTTTTAAAAAACCCAACGATAATCTCCTGTGCGTAATTAGATGTTTGGATGATAATACATCCACTTATCTTCTAATCATCCACTACATATTATCCAACACTTACCTACTCCAATATGCTGCAAACTTTTACAAAATTCCTCAAACAAAGTTATGTTTAAGCAATCTAAAAACAAAGTATGAGTAAGCACTAAAAGCTCCCTTAAATATCAGATCAAACAAAAAACACTCCCAAAAAATCGTTAACACAATATCATATGGTTCAACCCCCCATTTAACAAAAACCTCTTCACAAATTTCGTTAAATTGTTTAAAAATTAAAATTACAAAATCTTTAACAGAAACACTGTATAGGTAACCTACAGCTGTACTGAAAATGTAGAAAAATTTATTAAAAAACACAACAAAAAAAATTATCTTCCCAAAAATTAAATATAATGACCCAATATGCAATTTCGAAAAAAAGCAGAATGCTGCCGAAAAAAAGCAGAATGGAAAGTGTAAATCCACAAACATATACAAATGCATTATCACAGCTAAAAACCAACCCAACAAAGTTTATATTGGATTAACGGAAGGTAGATGGAAAACCAGATAAAACAATTACAAATCATCATTCAGTAATGTTAAATACAAAACCTACCACCCTATCAAACTATGTCTGGGATTTGAAAAGCAATTTTAACCAAACTCCTTTATTCACATGGCCTATTCTAAAGTCTGTATCCTCCTACTCAAATATTTCCAAAAGGTGCCCACTATATCTAAATGAGAATTTACAATTACATCCAAACCAAAACCTGAGG